CCCGCCAGCCCCAGGCAAGCGCCGACGGCCTTTGGCTGTGCCTCAGGTTCCCTTTCTGGTAACGGGAGCTGAGCCCTGGTCCCCCTTGGGCCCCTCGGGACGCGCGATGGCCGGGCTGGGTTGGTGCCCGATGCCCCACAGCTCCGCTCCCCCTCCAGCGTCCCCAGCGCCCCGCACAGGGAGGTTTTGCAACGGAGAAAATCCCGGTATAGACACTGCGGTGCACTCTGCGTGTGCGTGTTCGCACCCACACAGCTCTGCACACACATTTGGGGTGATGCCGGGGTTACCGGAGCAGCCCACGCGGCACAGCCGCGTCCTCGCCGTTTGCCGTGCGAGTCACAACAACCGATTCTCCGGGCACGCTTGCAGCAAGGAGAGCCGTAAATAGCATGGCCCCTCGGCAGGGACGCGGCGGAGACGCTCTCCAGAGCCCGGCAGTGGAAAATCTGACAGCGCTTTCCACACTTGACTGGGTTCCAGGAAAGCACCCAACCACCGCACCAGTCCGAGACGCGGAGCAGAGCTTGCGCCAAGCCCTCTGCTCCGCCATCGCGTCCGCGATGGCGGAGCAGAGGGCTTGGCGCAAGCTCTGCGATGGTTGTTTCCCTAACAATGCCAAAATTGGCTAAATCGGCGCTGGAAATCACCACAGAAACAAGGAGCGCGGTTATAACGGAGGGGACCCGTTTACACCAGTCTTAGCAGAAGGCGGGAGCTCCTCGAAGTCTGAGCTTCACCGACTCACCGTGAACAAAGACAAGCCGGGGCTCTGGAGAGGCGGCGTGAGGGAAAACCGAGGGAAGAGGTCGGTGAGGACAACTTTTTATTGAAGAAAGCTTGAGTAAAAACAGTTTTATTACATAAATATTAAGGACAAACTCGGGACAAGAAGAAAAACACAGAAAACATTTAAATAGACAGTTAAATACCCCTCAGTGCTATAGAAATGGCTCCCTGAAAAGCAAAACACGACTACGGGTAAATACTCCAGGGAAGTACTTCGAAGGGGAAAGATGGCGCTTCCCCGCTTCTGCCGTGGAACGCGAGCGCTGGAAGTCGCGACCACGCAGCGGCACTGAGGCGACGAACAGGCCCGACCGCGCAGGGGACCGCGCTCTTCGTGCAGCCGGGCGCGCGGAAGCCCGGGGGAAGCTCTTTGTCCCCAGGAATGAACGGGCAGGAGAAGCCTCGTGCCGCCGAGCAGCCGCTCTGCACAAGGGCCTCTTCCAGCGCCAAGGACGCGGCAGAGGAGCTCAGGGGAAGCTGCTTTTCCGACGCGTGCGTTGGAATAACCAACCGGCTCTCCCACCAGTCCCCCCAGATCAAAGATCCTTGGATGGCAAGCGCTCAGCTGGCACGGCGGAGACGCCCGTTTCGCTCTTCAGCAGCACAAGGCAGTGGCAGTCACGAGCAGCTCTTACCTGAAGATGACCTCTGGGCTGAACGAAGCTGAACACAGGGTTTTTTGGCAGCCAGACAGAAGATAAAACTGCCAACACTGAGCAGAGCAGGGAGACAAGCCTGCACAAACCTCCGTTACTAAGTCTGAATTTAAAAAACCAAAGGCTAAAACGCAACATGGCGGAGGTTGAGCAACCGGGGCCTGCACAGACATAAACAACTGCAAAAAGGGAAGAAAACCACTACCAAACTCGGTTCTAAATGCCTACGCCTCACGTTATGTCTCTGTGGTTGTGGAGCTAAAAAATAATAAAACAGATAAGCTTTTAAGATCTCTGAAGAGGAAGGTGTCTATGTGAGAGGCTATTTTAAAGGGTTTGATATGTTCTAAAGTCTACTTGAACATTAAAATGACCACAAAGTGTCCAAAGATTCCAGCTAACTAATGGGTAAGGGGGAAGGGCATCAGCACTAGCTGGGCACACAGCTCCAGTGTTCACGAGAAAGGGGGGTTCCTGTTCAAACAAACCTAACTTACTTAAAACCAAGAAAAAGAGAGCTGTGTGCACTTATAACAAACATTTTTGCACTAGCTTAAATTCAGTGAAAAGATTTCCTAGTCTGAGATGATGTTCTTTGGTGACAGCTTCTCAGGAGCTCTGCTGAAGGCTTGCTTGTAGCTTAATTTGGATCAACAGTTTAAAATCTTCATAAAAATTCAAAACATATCATCTTCATCGGACTCCTCCAAGTACCGGACAGGCTTTTTGAAACGCCCAGGCCTGGTACGGGGCACGGCTGCTATGGGGCTGTCTGCACGAGCGGTTGAATCAACAGTAAAGCTGTCGTCGTCTTCCAGCTTGGATTTCTGGAGGGAAAGCATAGTCGAGAAGTGAATCATGAATCTGAGCGTAAACACGGAACGCAATTAGCACAAAACGCCCCACTGTGGCACGGGTAAGGTGGCCGTTCGGACTGACGAGACCGAACCAACGATCTGAGAGAAGTCCGTGCGCCCGACCCCGGCAGCAAAGCCGGGCGTCGCAGGCAGTTCTACCTCTACCACGCTTTTCCTGCCAGAACAACCGGTGCCACGCTCTGCGGTACCCCCTCGGCTCTGACGGGTGGCGGAGTACAAACCTTTGCTGCAACAGATTTGGAAGGCTTCGAGCCAAAATCATCCGAATCCGAATCCAAAGAGCTCGGCTGCCTTTTGGTAACTTTCCGCCCCTTGGTCTGGTCAGACTTCTTGTCACCCGCTGCTGTGGCCTCAGAATACAGGGATCCCTCCTTCACCGCTGCCTTGCTGGATTTGGGTGCAGCCTTTTTCTTGGCTAGAATATCCATGATGGAGGGCTGGTTATCTGAAACAGAACTCTGCGTTTAAACCCGTCTTCTGCTGCCTCTCTTCTCATTCGCAGTTTGTGAATTACTTCCAAGACAAATACGGCTCTGCGCTGTACTGCGAGGTCAGCGCGCAGGTCGTCTCGTTTCGAAGCGTGGTTTTCTAGAACGATTGCTCTTTACCAAGATTATGAGAAATGAGGTTGTTTATCTGCTTGGTTCCATTACATTGAGAAGAGCAAATTAAAATGTGCCCAAAGCAATTTACAGGCTATTTCAGATTGAGAAGTCCTAAACTCTCAAGGCTGCGTAACCAATCTTATACCTTCCACGCTTTTGCCCAGGGAAGGAATGAATTTACCGTCTATACTGAACAGTTACTTGTGGAGTTCTTTCCTACCTATATTTTGACATTTTTTTAACAGCATCTTGAAGCATGTCTCCAAGTAAAGCTGAAACGAGCAGGCCATTCTTGAATGATACAGGCTTTCTCAATTCAGAAGTGGAAGAAACAGCTATTTTGCTGGGAAGTAACATGCTACTTTACTGCTGGGATCAAAACCAGCTCGTGACGGAAGATGCAAAACAGCTTTCAAAGCTTCACAAAGACTCTGGGCAGTTAAGTTTAAAAAACCTGAGTCAATTGCTGTAGATTTATGAGGTCGAGCTAGCACTAAATAGATCAAGCCACCCCAAAGAAGCTTTTCTTCTTCCTGGGAAGCAAGCTACCAAGTAGCTTTCTTCCCAAAAAGACATGAAGTACAACATCGACTGCAAGACACAAATTCCACTCGGATTACTTCTGCCAAGTATTACATAGCACTGTAGGAAGCATTCACTTTTCCTGTTCCCAAACTAAAATTCACTCCCTTCAAGCATGTCTGAGATGAACTAGAACACGATATGTTTGGAAACAAACTTCTTCAAAAACGACAACAACTAGGCAACCTTTGCCACAAACCTCGGATCTTTTCTGAAATGAAAACTGAAGTTTTTCAGGCCTCTTGACGTCTGGCACAATCACTCAGACTTGTTTCCCACAGGAATAATAATTGTTATCTAAAAATGATCTTACTAAACTTCGCCTTACCCTTAGCGGCACCGGCCTTCTTCGCTGCAGCAGGTTTTTTAGATACGGCCTTACCGCGAGGCACGGAGACAGAAGGAACCGCAGGAGCTTGACTCACATTTTC